GTGGTGCCTAGCAGGCAAACACGGAACACGTCAGCATCACTGCAACCTTTAAGACACTCAATCATCATCCTAAGACTTCACTGCCATTAAACTCTGGGGGGGCAAAAAATGCCATGGAATAATTAATCAGCATGAATCGGGATGAGTTCTAACATCTAATTAGGACTTTCGTTATAAGCCACTCCACATCAAATTGCTAGAAACAAGGGCAGCGTTAGCCAGATCTGCTGCAGTCTGAGCTTAGACGAACAAAGCAGGAGCAGCTCAACTATTCCTATGGCGAACAAAACCCAACCAAAGAGCCTGTTATCAGAAATTTTAACTTTAACAAAAACCCAGCTGTCTCCAGACCATCAATGTTAACAATGATTAAAGAAAAGTGGAAGAATAGGTGTAAAACATGGAGGAACACCCAGAGCTGGGCGTCCGAACACATCTGAAGGTTCGAGTCCCTGCCAATCCGCAGAGGCGACACCGGCTGACTGCAAACCCCTGTAATGCCATCGCCTCAGGGCAGCAATTATGCGGATGGCGAGAACCAGCAGGTGAGGTGGCTCTGACTGGGTAAAACATGCCGGGCAAGCTTTTCACAGCCTCTAAGGGGCACAGAATGAAAAAAATAAGAACCAGTGCCTCGGTGAGAGTCCAAGCAGAACAGCAAGTCTGCAGTTTGGAGGAGGAATTGGGACAAGTCTGAGTTCAGAGCCTGACAATTCAACCAGCATCAGTCTGTGTCCTGACAAGAACCCAGTCTGCACTTCTACGGAGGGGGCAGGAGGCTCCGGGCAGGAAATGAGTAATGTGCGAGCGATCATATCACGTTTCTCTGTCAAGAAGCAGCAGGAAGATCGGTCGTGATTTATTTTGGAAATCTTTCCAACGCTGACCGTCGCAAGCATAAGTCGGCGACGGCTTTCCGCTAAGCAGCGACTAAACCACGCAGGCAGGGAGGGAGGGAGGGAGGGAGAGAGAGAGAGTATCGGCGCGCTTCAGTGGCCTGCATTACGCAGATCGACCATCCACGACCCGTCTTAAGCTGAAACATGGGCGTCTTCAGATGCCTCCGATCACTCGGGGCTGTAGCCCCTGGTATTCTAAGCCGAGCCCCGAGTATTTTAGCCCTGATGCCAGTCTTCCCTCAATAAAAAAAAAAAAAAGTCAAGCCTCAAGTGAACTTGACTTTGCCCCTGATCTTTTCAATAGCTAGAAACTCCCCTGGGCTGAAACGTGACACAATTTAATAATATTTTATAAAAAGGTACCAAGAAGAGTCATAAATGCCTGTTATAATGACCGGTATTTTTGTCCACCAATATGTCTATTTATATGCTTAGAAACTCAGGGGGGAATTAATATACTGGGAAATCAATCTGAGAAATTTGATTCTGGATTTGAAATCATACTGAAAAAATGTGGTGTTTTCAATGTAATTTCAAGGAACGCATATAAACACACGGCTGTCAGATAAAAAAAAAAAAGTTTCTTTATTTCATAATTTGCCCTTGTTAAAAGGCAAAATTGTACAGGAGTTGTGCTTTGGTGATCGCCAAACAGTCCCGAACTGCGCACCTAGCGGCGTGCAGACCGAAATCAGCAGGCGGCATTTCGGATTAACAAGTTCAATAACAATGACGACGACAACAAATAATAATCCTTTTAATTACCAATGCGTAATGACATTAGCTTCTTGTAAGGGGACAAATATTTATCCTCGATAGAATTAACGTACGCCATGATGAAATCATAATAAAACTGCCGAAGGCATACTATACAGATTACTTAATCTTAATAAAAATGAACGCGTTTGTTCGTCGCATTTTCGCGCACTCGCGCCATGCAGTGATCGCGAGGACACGCGGCCGAGCGCCGCGAGGACGGGAAGCGCCGCTACACAAACACCCGACGCGGATGGCGCGCTACGCGGGAGTTTTCCGCGCTGTTTACAATGTGGCCGTCGCGAACGCGCATGGGGACGCGCACGACCAGTCCAAGTATGAGCAAAGGCAACGCGTCAAAAAAAATATGACATTTTATGGACTCCCCTGCAGTTTATAAGCACTGGCCTAAAAGCCACCCTCCTAACCTTCTTTTGACTTTTGTCCATAACCCGGCGTAGGCTACCTTTGCGGACACGGTCGCGCAGAAACGTGCATGTGGTATTTACAGGACCGAACCTGGCTTCCAGCGGATCAGTACGCCTTACATTTAACTTTACGCAGGTCAGAGCTCATGAAGAAAGTTCCCTTTAATGTTTGAAACCTGACGACAAATACGAAGAGCGCTAGTTTAATATCAGGTTTAATTATTGCACATCTCCCCTACATCGCTACCGCTTTGCCGATTTCTGAAAAGCTCATTGGCTCACGCCTCTGACGGCTCCAAATTCTAAACATCTTATTGGCTGATATGACTGCCAATCAGGCCACAACTTAGCAGGGGCCTCATCTCGGCCTGCTCTTGATTACATTTCACTTAACCATATTTACGGCATGAGCTGCGAAGGATCCAACTTCCCATAAAACTCAACGAACCCTCTAGAAAGGACATCAGCGGTACTTTCTCAACAGACGCGACACGAATGATTAAAAACGCAATTTCACACCAAAGCATAACCGCATTCAAGCCATTGCGGTTTAAATTTCCTCCAAACTTCAACAGCATCAGTCGTGAAATAGCATGCTGGCAACTTTCACTTGTCACCCACATCATCGCTAATATAAACAATCATGGTCCATATTCAAACCGAAAATCAGAATGGCTCCAGCAGATGGCCTGTGCGGCGCACCACAATAAATGATACTCTTACCTAAGGCTTCCCGGAGTTCTTATTTCTGACCGCCCGGTAACGTCTGGACAGCTTGACACTCGCCCCGGCTTGTCATGTGCTGTGCCGCTACCTCTTCGAGCGGCAGTAGACCACGCACTTTATTTTCCTGTGGTGTTGGCTGAGCTGCAGCGTGCAGCGCCGCCGCTGTCACGGCGTGGCTCTCATCCTGCGCATGCGCCTGCTCGCCTTCCAGAACTCAATGGCGTCTGCTGGCTGGACTTAAACGGGTCTTAAAAATCCGTCGAGCAACGTTAATTGGATTCAAGCGAAAATGACAAGGTAAAGAAATATGCAGCAAAGGATCTCGCTGATTGTAATAATTAATATATAACTATGTATTTTAAATTGTTCGCAATGTTTATCTGAACGTTCTGTATCAACCAATTAAACGTGAATGGAGACCGACTATATTTACTCTGTATTATTTTCCGTGTCTTGATATTTTCGTGTGTTGCTGCGTGGCTACATTTCCCCCATTCGATTATATATTGATTATTTAATTCTTCAAGTAATGTGTTTTTGTTTTTTTATATATTTCGCTGTTAGTAGCACTTGAACTATGTGTACAGACGTGGCAAACTTAAGAGGCAGATGATTATAAGTAATACGAGTTTGTGATTAGCAATGTGTGCTATAATTGCGCGGTGGAGTGATGTGAGAAATAAACAGGAAAGTAGTTAAGCACATTCCCGGAAATATCTCTTCATTTCTAAATTTTGACTCCAAAAAGTCCAGAAAATTGTAAGATAATTTTTCTGTCGGGGAAACATAAATGCTGGTAGAAATTGTGTACAAACTGTGTCCCGTTATACCACCAATTATCCTAATAGTCCAATTTCACAGGGGGACGTTCGTCCACCAGAATGTATAGTTTATATAATATTGTTATATATTAAAACAGGTTTAGTCGTGTATGTTAACAGGTCGCTCGGAATTCGGAATTTTGTGATTTTAGTCTGATCATAATTTATGTGCCGATTTCCCTGGTATTTTAAGTATTACTTTAAAATGCTTTAGCGTCTTCACGGGTATGAGGGGGTGCTGAGAAGTTCCTGGCTTTGCCCCCTGCCAGTTGAAATAGAAAAATGAGTGTGGGGGCATATGACAGGCTAATATCTTAGTATGTAACTGTGCAAATATCAGGTCTTTGCGATTCTTAAAACTTTTTTCTTTTAGTGAGAAGCTGTGATGGCAGAGGCACAAGCAACTTTCATGTTGTTGGAGTTACGGGCCATCATGAAGTTTCTGCTTCTCCAGGGAAAGTCAGCAAAGGACATTCACACAGATGTCACAAACACTGGGGGAGAAGTGTCCTTCCTACAGCGCTGTCAAAACCCGGATATCGCGTTTCGAGACTGGGCATTTCACCGTTGAAGATGAGCCCCGCAGTGGGCGGCCCCCAACCTCAACTGACCCGGCAACCTGCGATGCTGTCCATGAGCTGATTATTGAGGACCGGTGAATATCCACAAAAAAGATGAGCCCAGATGCTTCACATCTCATGGGAGCATGTTGTGTTTGTTATCACCACTATCCTAGACATGCGCAAGATTTCAGCGAAGTGCTGAAATGTCTGAACGGTG